AGCCACATTGGAAGACAATTTGGCAGTTTCTTATGAAACTAAACATACTCTTATCATATGATCCAATAATCCCATCCCTAGGCATTCACCCAAGTAGCTTAACAGTAGATATCTACACAAAACTTGCATGTGAATGTTTATAGTAGCTTTATTCATAATCATCGACACCTAGAAGCAACCAAGATATCCTTCAACGGGTGAATAGGTAAAGTGTGATACATTGGTACAACAGAATATTATTCAGCAATAAAAAGAAATGAGCTGTCAACTGAGGAAAAGACACAAAGGAAACTTAAGTACATATTGCTAAGCGGAAGAAGCCAGTCTGATTCCAACTATGTGACATTCTGGAAAAGGTACAGCGGTAGCAAAGTGGAAAGATCAGTGGTTTCCCAGGAAGGGGAAACCTTTTTTTTTTTTTTAGGAGAAGGGGAAGAGAGCAGGAAAGGAAGGATGAGTAGGTGGAGCACAGGGGATTTTTAGGGAAATGAAACTATTCTGTATATACAGTAGTGGTAGATACAGGACATTAAGCACTTGACAAAACTGATAGAAAACACTACACAAAGAGTGAACCCTAATGTAAACAATAGACTTTAATTAGAATGTACCGATACTGGTTTATCAATTGCAGCAAAGGTACCACACCCAATGCAAAATATAACAGGAACTCTCTGTACTTTCTGCTCAGTTTTTTTGTAAACATAAAACTGCCCTAAAAAATAAAGCCTACTAATTTAAAAAAAAAAAAAAAGCAAGACAAGATCAAAACATGAATGCTGCTAACATCTCCATTCATATGAAGCCAATGTTTTCAAGATATGCCTATTCTAGGTTTTTGGTTTATTGGTCTGGTTTATCTGATAATAAAGAAGTACTTCATGTAGTGTTGGTTAAATTGTGCAAAACTGTGTTCTCAGGCACTCCTGTTCTTTTTTTTTTTTTTAATTCGGTGTTTATTTATTTTTGAGAAAAAGAGAGACAGAGCATTAGCGGGGAAGGGGCAGAGAAAGAGAGAGGGAGACACAGAACCCCAGGCAGGCTCTAGGCTCTGAGCTGTCAGCACAGAGCCCAACGTGGGGCTTGAACCCACGAACAGTGAGATCGTGACCTGAGCCGAAGTCGGACACTTAACTGACTGAGCCACCCAAGCGCCCTTGTTTTTTCATTTCTAAAGCAAGGGAAGGAAGAAGGAAGACCTGGAGAACTGGAGAAGGAGAATGAAGAGGAAGAGAAGAAAAAGGTGGCAGCCTGAGGAAATCAAATGCCACAGTTCCACACTTAACATTTTCTCTTAAAGAAATAGCACATGTGCAGCACGTTTCTCTCTTAATATCATCACAACAGAAGTTTTGTACCCTAAATGCCACAAATAAAGAACGTCAGTGAACTGGAGGAAAGCAACACAGGAACAGAGGGCTGTATTATCTTTATCTCTGTATTAAACCTTCTTTCCCTTTCCTCCTCTTTCATACATAGGTGTGAATCGACAGCTGTTCGATTTTCTTTGGAATCTGTGACACCACGGGCACTGGCTGCGCTTCAGGATCTGGGTTATTTGCCAAGTTCTGGAACTTCCTTACTCTCCACCCCTCTCAGATATTGACCGCGAGCTTCATTACACTCAGCATTAGCCACTGGCATAGTCGGCCAACATCGTAGTCCCATAGGGACCTAATGGACAGCAAAGCACTCAAATTCTCCATCCAAGTCACACACTGGGCGGGGTGACATTCGCTCTTCCTTCTCCCTGTCTTGGGCCCACGTGGGCGCGCGCACACACACCCCAGCAGAATCTTCACCTCAAATATACGCCGGAATGGTCATATCATTCCGTTTCATCCTGTGTTATTTTCAGTCATCAGAACACTCCCATAAGTTCTGACCACATTTCTACCTGTTGGCAGACACAGCTCCTCTCAGTGAGGTTAAATTAGAAATAATTGTCCATTGGTGGCTCAGTCTTTCCAATGTGAAATTCCTATGGGCTGATCCAAGAGTTAGAGAAATTTTCCATACGTCTAGAGGCCTAATATCATCAAACCCCTTCCCATAAATGGAGCACCAATTCATCATCAAAGGAGAAATCCTAGTGAGCCACGAGTTTGAGGGACTGTCAAAGCCAGCACTAGAGATCACAAGTCTGAACCAGGAACAAGAAGTATTTGGGAAGAAAATTATTTTGTGAAAGTATTTAGTTCAAATCTGGGGTTGGCGTAACCATGGTGGCTCATGTCCTCTCCACTTGTGTCTGCCAACTGTCCTCAGCCTTGACACCGCTGCCTGGGGGCTCTCACGCTGGCAGTGGCCTTGTCCCTCAGCATCACCCTGTGCGGCGCAGGGACCTGGAGGAGGCCTGGGGCTCTGCAGCCCACCTCAGTGTTCCCGCAGGTCCCAGTTACACAAGTGTGCCACCTGCACAGTGATGCACTTTGACGTGGGAGGAAATCAAGGACCGTGTTCTTTATGTCTTGAAACTCTATGGCAAGATTGACCCAGAAAAGCTCTCGGTAAATTCCCACTTTATGAAAGACCTGGGCTTAGACAGTTTGGACAAGTGGAGATTATCATGGTCAGGGAGAATGAATTTGGGTTTGAAATTCCTGATACAGATGTGGAGAAGTTAATGTGTCCACCAGAAACTGTAGATTACATCGCAGAGAAGAAGGATGTATATGAATAAAATATTAGACCCCTTTTTTTTCACTGAGAGCTCTCAAAGACTCAAAAGATGCTGGCGAGTGTCTGTAAGTGAGAACATGTTTTGGCATGATCGCTGCCTTTGACAGAGTAATTCTTTTTTTTTTTTTTAATGTTTACTTTTGAGAGAGAAATGGAAAGTGTGAGTGAGGGAGGGGAAGAGAGAGAGGGAGACAGAGGATCTGAAGCGTTCTCTGTGCTGACAGCAGAGAGCCCGATGTGGGGCTCAAACTCATGAACTCTAAGATCATGATGTGAGCTGAAGTCCCACACTTAACTGACCGAGCCACCTAGGTGCCCCTTATTTTTAATTTTTTTAATGTTTATTTTATTTTTGAGAGAGAGAGACAGACAGACAGAGCTTGAGCGGGGGAGGGGCAGAGAGAGAGGGAGACACAGAATCTGAAGCAGGCTCCAGGCTCCCAGCTGTCAACACAGAGCCCAACGAGAGGCTTGAACTCACGGACTGTGAGATCATGACCTGAGCCGAAGTCAGATGCTTAACAAACTGAGCCACCCATGTGCCTATAGACTTGTATTTAAATTATCTGTTCTGTCCTTTGAAAATAAATCTATACAACAAACAAAACAATTATTTAGTTCAGGTTTTGAGCTCATAACTCCTTTCAAAAACAGATCAGAGATTAAAAACTTTGTTTTGGGGGTGTCTGGATGGCTCAGTCGGTTAATCATCTGACTTGAGCTCAGGTCATGATCCCCTGGCTCACGAGTTCGGGCCACACCAGGCTCTCTGCCTGGAGCCTGCTTCAGATCCTCTGTCTCCCTCTCTCTGCCCCTCCCCCATGCTCACTCGCGCACTCTCTCTCTCTCTCTCAAAAATAAACATTAAGAAATTTTTAAAAACCCAAAACTTTCAGTCTTGCAACTTTTTTTCTTTTTAAGCTTACGTAAGTTTAAGTAATATCTACACCCAACGTGGGACTAGAACTCACGACCCCGAGATCAAGGGTCATACGTTCTTCCGACTGAGCCAGCCGGACACCCCATAGTGCACCTTCTTTAACAATTATTGGTATAAAAGAGTCCCCCTGACTCCCACTACCTTAATGCCCATTTCCACAACCTAGTGGACTTTCATTTAAAAACAGTATAAAAGGGGCGCCTGGAAGGCTCAGTCCATTAAGCATTCGACTCTTGATTTCAGCTCAGGTCATGATCTCAAGATTGTGCGAGCGAGTCCTGAGTTGGGGTCTGCACTGATAGCACAGAGGCTGCTTGGGATTCTGTCTCCCTCTCTCTGCCCTTCCCCTCTCCCTCTCTCTCTCAAAATAAATAAATAAGCATTTTAAAAGAACAGTATAAAATGAATCGAAAAAATGACCATTAACCATGTATTGCTGAGCTAGCATATGATGGGACTAGTTTATGGGGCCTGACAAGAAATGGGTTACAAATTCCTTTTGCCGGAGCACATTAGAGGAGATGAATTTCTGGGGATGAAATATGCAGTTTTCTCCAGGCTACAAACTTAACTATAGTGTATCAGGCTCAAGTAATTTTTTTTAAAAATGTTTGTTTGTTTGTTTGTTTGTTTATCTATTTAGACAGAGAGAGAGAATGGGTGTGGGAGGGGCAGAGGGAGAGAGAGAGAGAGAGAATCCCAACTCAGGACCCGAACCGAAATCACGAGTAGGTGGCTCAACCCACTGAACGACCCGGGCACCCCCATGCTCAAGTTATTAACACAGAATTTGTGCCCTCTAAGCTAACTGGGCAAAATGGGGCTGACATCATAGCTTACCACCAATTTTGATAAACACTCCTTACTTTGTGTGAGATTAGAAAGAAAAAAAACGCGTGTGGGGGTGAGTATACTCCTACATGCATGTACATAAACACAAACATATACATATAAAGTCATACTGGGTTTGTTATTCACACGGCTGCTCAGTGGACTGTCTCCTGGGGCCTCTCGCCCTTCCCTTCAAGTATTTCGATTCAAGGCTGAAGAAAGGACAAGGTCTCTAGTCCGGTTTAGATTTGAGCCGCTTCACCCAGGACCGGAAGGATAGGTGGATCCGGTTGCCCCACCGGCTTCATTATACCTATACACACATCCTGTCCCGACGGCAGAACCACCTAGGTCTGGGGAAGGGATTTGCCGACGTACCCGGAACTGTTTCCAAGGTTTCCTCACATTCGGTGGTGGCGCGACGGCGGGCTCTGGGATCCGAAGCAACCGAGATCTCCCTTAGCTCGCGAGAGCGCTCCCTTCTCTAGCGGCTGAGGGGACCCGGCGGCTCGGGGGACCCGGCGGCTCGGGGAACCCGGCGGCGGCGATGGCTCCGGTGTCGCGTTCGCGCAGCCCGGAGGGGGAGGCCTCGGGCTTTGGGGGGAAGCGTCGCAGTTTGTCCAAGAGCCCTAAGCCCAGCAAATCCGCCCGCTCCCCGCGGGGCCGCCGCTCCCGCTCGAGCTCTCGCTCGCACTCTTGCTCTCGGTCTGGGGACCGGAATGGTGTCAGCCATCAGCTAAGTGGCTTCAGCCAAGGGTCCCGAAACCAGTCTTACCGATCCCGCTCGCGGTCACGCTCCCGAGAGCGGCCCTCGGCGCCGCGGGGCAGCCTCTTTACTTCGGCCTCATCGACCGCGTATTATGGCGGCTACTCACGCCCCTACGGGAGCGACAAGCCGTGGCCTAGCCTTCTGGACAAGGAGAGGGAGGAGAGCCTGCGGCAAAAGTGAGTGACACGGGCACGCCTTTTCTTGCGGGAGCCCACCTGCCTCCGGAGTCGGACTTTCGGTTCGCCCCCCCCCTCCCCCTTCTGACTGTCCGCAGTTCACTCTCTGCCTGCCTGGCGCCCGTTTCCGTCCCTTCTGTCCACCCACCACGACGCCTTTTTTCGCCCTTTTCTTCCCTTCGGTTTTCGCCCCTCCCCGCGGCCCCTTCATTCAGCGCCCTGGTGTCTCCTACCTCTGGCTCCTGGCGTGCAGCGCTGCTGTGCAGAGCCTCAGACCTAACGGGATTACAGTATTTACTTGGTTTTGTCATTATTACGTGTAAAGCATGCTTTTTTTTTTTTCTTTTGTAAATGTTTACTTCTGAGCCGGAGAGAGAGAGAGCGCGCGCGGGCGCGAGTGAAGGGAGGGGCAGAGACTGGGAGAAAGAGGACCTGAACGGGGCTCCGTGCGGGCTGACGGCAGGCGGCGGGATGCGTGGGGCTCAAACTCGCGAGCGGGGCCGAAGCCTTAACGGACTGAGCCATCCAGGTGCCCCCGTGGAGCGGGCTTTCATTTGGCACTGGGTTGAGCTCATGGAATAGAACGGCCCCGTTTTGTTGATCACAAAGTTAGCAGAGTGCCTAGCACTTTGTAGGCGCAGAACCATTGCTCGTTGAATGATGGGACGGGTTGGAGGTGATAACGGGATGTGGAGGCGGAAACGTTTGGCGGAGAGGTGGGAAAGCTTTGAGGTCAAAGAGTTTATCTCGGAGAGAAGAAAAACCTCTGAGACTGAGACGATTGCATGTAGGGAAAGTGATCGGCGGAACTGTTGATTAGGCTACACTGAAAAGGGTCCTGTTAAATGGTTTCTAGTTTGGCCATGAAAAACGGGGTCAGGGCGAAATCAAGTGTCCTCTCAGGAGAGTGAGTATTGGAGAGGGAAAGTGAATCGTTTGAGAAAGAGAAAGGAAAAAAGGTTATAATTCATAGCTGATGCTTATTGACTGTTAAGTTATGCCAGCCACTATATTAAGTGCTTTACCTGTACTGTGTTGGAAAAGAAATTGAAAAGTTTCACAGGCATTGAGGAGGTTAAGGTTCCGACCGCGGGGAGAGGTCTCCATAAATCTTTTTCTTCCAAGAATGGGAAGTAATAAAGCATTGATGAAGAGGACAGGCTCCAGGATCAGACTGCCTGAGTTTGAAGCTCTGCTTTATTATTATTATTATTATTATTATTATTATTATTATTAACTTTGATTATCTTTATAAGCAGTGTTCCCTTTTATCCACACACATTTTGGGGTTGTTTTTTTTTTTTTTGAATTGAAGCCCCGTTTTGCTGCTTAATAGTTGTGTGACCTTGAGCACGTTTCTTAACTTCCCTGAGCTTTATTTCTTAACCATTTAAAAAAGGATAAAATTAGTGCCAAGGCTTTTAGAGTTGTTGTAATGATTTAGTGCCTGGAACCTAATAAATAGTTGTTGAGTGTTAGGTCTTAGAGTTTCCTGCATGGAAGCAGAAATGATAAAAACAGTACTGACTTAGGTTGGAGACCTACCTCTCCAAATTAAGTTTGTCAGCAAGTTATCTCCTGGCTGTGTTAGTCAGAAAGCAACCAGCTTCTTACCGGACAACCCTCACCAAAAGATGTCAGAACTTCTTGGATGAAATTTGCATTTGTACACTTAGGAGATGAATAACTTATCTTTTTTTTTTT